TTTTAGAACCGCAGAGGTGGACGGGACCCTATGGGATCACTAAGTCCAGCTCCTGTCAAGGAGGCACAATGGGGAATCGAACTCTCAACTTCATCCAAACCACTGAGCTCTCCAGCAAATAAGACATCATAAAACAAAGCAAACTATTAAAAATCTGAATATAAAATTGTAGAACAGATGTCACTCTTCTTCCAATTCTATGCGGAATATAAATGCAGCAGAAGTCTGTGGTTTCCTTGTACAAAGTGCTAGGTTAGGAAATTCTTTGACTTTCCTGAGACCATTACACTTAACAATAAGTAACAATGTACTTTAAGCCAAGCCCCCCCCCCCAAAAAATCCTACAATCATTATTTGAAAATCCAGGGACAATATACAGTACATCACTCTTTCCCCACACAGGAATGAAAATCATGGACAAAATGTTTTATTGCTGCCAAGAGTAGCCCCCCAAATTCTAAAGGGATGGCAAAATAAATATGCACATAATCTAGTATTCTATTTTGTAAACATGAAGTGGGAGAGCAATCACAAAAGCATTCCTCCCTGCCCCACCAGGCTCCTCATCACGTGTCTAATTGCACAACTACTCTCACAGCTGATGCGAGAATGGGCACTCAATGGGGAACCTACTAGAGCAGGATGGATATTTTCACATTTGCCCTTTTGCTCTGCATTACCTCAGTGGGATACTGGCCTCAATTTGCACACTCTATTCTTCAGAGGGTGCACAGATCTACACCAGTCTATATCCACAAAAGGGAAATGTCATATTTGTTAGTGGAAATTAGTTAGATATATTTTGTAACAGATATTCAGATTCTGAAAACACAGAGAGCTCCCAACAAAAGTAGTTATCAAACTTGTATGATCTCAGTTAAGAGACTATTTGTATCTTCCTTTTCACTTAGCAACCAAGAAACTCTCAGGTTTGTTTGGGTGTATGAACGCATTATAGCAAACGCAACCCCCTGCTGCATTTAGATAGCTCAAGGGAACCAAAATAATTTGTGATCAGACATTTTAACTCTATTTGTGCTCCTTTGATAATAGCTCTAGTAACTTCCCCCAGGCTACTATTTTCCATTGCTAGACTTTAGGTCCTTGGCAACACGGGCTCCATCCACCGAGCATTTGGGACTACTGGGGTGACCCTTTTAAGTAACATCAGCAGATAAGGCTTTCCAATTTTGCAAGAGCTGAACTATTTGCCTAATATCTTCCTGAATAAGAGATTTTCCAACACAAAGCAAAGACTTCGCCACTTTTCAGGTTCAAAGCCAGTAACAGGGAGGAAAAGCAGAGCCAGTATCTGTTCTGCCCTTTTTATAATAAATTTCTTCTGCCATTTGCATCTGAAAAGCTAAGGATGCCCTCTAGTGAAGTAACGCTATACTTCGAGCACAGAGAAGTGCAAATCCAGATCTTCTATCTTTGTACCAGAGGAGCTCTGAGGAGCAGGAAGGCAAGCCAGCATTATTCACATTTGCGTACAAATGGCTAGAGGTGACATTATGTAAATGAAAGGTGAGTTAGCATTATCATTTACAGTTTTCTCAGACTGTGCAAGCCTATATTTCTTTACCCACCAACTTTTCAAGGAAAAGAAATTTCGCTTTGTATCCTTTTCGACTTCAGTGTGTTAACCAAGCAAATTCAATTTCTTCCAAACTGCTGAGGTTCTGTACCCAGCACATTTTGACTATTCCCCAGAGAGGATTTGTCCTTCACTTTAGATTTTGGTTCCTTCATTAAGTCATTCAGGCAAATTTGTCAGAGGTTTGCTAAATGAGATGCACTCTTCCTACAAGGGCACCTGCATTCTTAAACCGAAAGGGCAGCAGAATGAAGAGGGGAATTGCAAAACAGTTTATAACAGGAGGCCAGTAGAGATGGACAGAACATGACAATTACATTTGGCAGGTGGGAAGTTGGGAAGGAGAGTCACCATTCATTAGAAGCATAGTAATAGCATGCTACAATTACTTCACTGCAATGGGTGAAGGTTTCACAGGGTTTTAAAGCCTCCTTCAATTTTCTTCTGTGTGACTGAGTCTTATGCTTGAGCCTCTCTTCATACCTGAAAGATTAGTCACAGGGGACAGAAAGAAGAGTGACTAACAAATAAATATTTCAGCAAAATATTTTTTGCTTTCAACTTCTCCAGATGCTGTGGTAAACCTATGTTGTTTCCCAGATGACAATTACAAATCTGTCTCTGTCTGTCTGTCTGTCTATTGATACACACACATGCTAGCAGAAGAAATCTTTCATTGGCCTCAAAGGAAACCCTATATAGGATTTCCTAGGTTGTTATCAATACATTTAGGACATATCCAAGCAGCTGCTTTTTATATGTCCTGTTTGGTATTGTAGTATACATCATCACCAGTAAGACAAAAGTGCCGTCTGGATGCAAAGCTCTGATTATTACCAAACTGAAGATATTGTGTGATTATTCCCTCTTTTCCTCTTTAAGGGCATCTTTTTTTTTCTTTCTTTCAAGACCATGGCTGGTTCCTCAGTCTCCAAGCAAGCACCTGGCTCTCCAGGTGTAAAGACGCTGGACGAAAAGGCAGTGGCAGCAGCAGGGCAGCGAAACCAGGACGCACGGGGCACCGAGGCAGCCGTTTATTTCTCTGCCCTGAGGGAGAACCACCTCCCAGAGCACCAGTGGGGTGAGAGGCAAGAAAGAAGGGGAAAGCCACCACAGCACAACACTGAGGAATCTCCAGCACTCGCAAGGAGGGAGGGAGAGCGGACCAGACCGAGCGTGGAAGAGGGGTGGGGTGGGGGGGGGGGGGGCACCCCCCCTTCAATGGGACCTGCCCTCAAACAGTCTCCTCCTGTCCAACACCTCCACAGAAAGGGTGTGGAAAGCCGCCGGGGATAGATCACACCCCTCCCCCCTGAAAACCACATTCACAGCCCCCATGGGGGGAGACCATGCTCTCGTCTCCCCCCCCCCCTGGGGGGAGACCGTGCTCTGTCCCCACCCCCACTGGAAACCGGGGAAATGGCGGCTCCAGTCGGGGGGGGGCTCAAAAGGTCCTTTGTCACCTGGTGCTGTGATAGGCAAAAGGGGTGGGGAGAGGCGGAAAAGAGCACCACACCTGGTGGCAGAGGCAACACCGGGACGTCCACTGCACATCAAACTCCCCCCCTCCAGTGGCGAGGAGGCGGAGGGCAGCAGAAACCTGGCAGGCCACCACAGCACTCATGATGGGAGGGCGACGGAAAGCAGCCAAACAGCCACCCGACCCCTCTCATGCTGCAAAGAGTTTCACCATGCTGCAAGTAGGAAGTAGAGCAGGAAGAGGGAGAAAGAAAAGGAAGAAATGAGCACCACCCCGACAGCAATGAATACCCGGCCATGGAAGGGACAAGGAACGGAGGGGGCACCACCGAATTACAAGCGTGACACGCCCCCCCTGTGCGGGCACGGGGGGGTGGAGATCCATGTCCGTGGACCAGTTCCATGAAGCCCACGGACCAGCTGATGCCACCTGGTCTGAGGGGCCTGTGTGCCCCAATGATGACTTTTCTTTCCTCTTTTCCCCATTGTTCCCTCCCTTCCTCCTTTCCTGCCCTTTTTTTAAACCTAAGTCATCTTAGGTTAAAAGAAGAAAAATTCTTCCCCTAGTGGTAGAGGACAGATTAACCGCTTTTGCATTTGTTCCTATGGGAACGAATGCTTCGACTTGCAACAGGCGCCTCTAGATACAACCAAAAAAACCCAGCCAGAACAGATTAAACAGGCTTCAATGCATTACAATGGGAAATGCTGATTTGACTTACTGTACAACCATTTCGACTTACGACCATCTTCTGGAAAGGATTATGGTTGTAAGTTGAGGCACCACTGTAGCTGCAGCAAATTTCACCTACCGTAGTTGAGAAATCAAGGCTTGTAATCTTCATTGTACATTGGTTATGAGTTAGCATATGGTGAGAAATGCAAGTGTTGACTTCTTAACAGCAATTTGCCACTCTGATTTATACCATTTAACTTCTGCTGGCATACACAAGTAACTGGATTCTGGCCACAAACAATTAAACAAAAAGAATATATGTTAAATGGTGGCAGAAGGAGATTTGTATAGTATTCTTGCCAACCTGTCTATAATTGTGATAAAAGTATTCTTACACCCTACATTTACATAGACAGGCAAGGTTTACATAGAAGCACCAGGTTGTTATCATGGTTCCTCTATCTTTAATATTCATGTAGAGAAAATTTCAACATGAAAAATAGCACATCCCAAAATTTCAACTTCTAAGAAAATATTAAAGGTGCAGGAACTATGTCCTCTTTTTCAGCTGGTCAACCTGTGAGATCCCACCACTATACAGTGATAGTGATAGGATCTCCATGATCAAAGGTGTTGTGGTTCAAAGTAATATAACAAAGGTCACAGTGCACCTTCCTTCCCGAAGATACATTTATAATAATACGTTGCCTCTGCGCAGACAAGTATTAACTGAAAAATGTTGCCTGTTTCATTACAGTAGGCAAACAGTAGATGCCTTGCATGTTGGTGTTATTTTGCATGCACCCTTATATGCCCTGTGTGTGTGCAAAACAACTCAGCAACATAATGCAAATTCAGTATGTAGTCATTACAATGTGTGCTACTTTGGAAGGTGTGCTTGCGCGCACATTGAAATGAATGGTACTTCTGAGTTTTTAAACTACGGGGGGGGGGGGGGGAGACACATTCCTGGTGAAATCTAACTGGAATGAAGGCTGTTTATGACAACAAATATGATGAGGAAACACTTGTGAATGACATTATTCAAAATGATGGTTGCATAATGCCACTCTGCACTGCTACCAGTTCCTAACCCTAACCTCTCCTACAACCCCAATCTCATAATTTATGAGTTCCACTTATTCTCACATATGTATGGGAATTTGAAAAGCAGTAATTATGAAAATGACAACCCCATGAATGCAGCGGTATAGTAATGGATACAAGACACTGTTCAGAATTCCAAGGTGATGGGATAAAGAAGTGGATTTAATGTTGGGGAATTATACTGAAGACTCCACTCAAGAGAGGGAATTCTGAAGTTTTATTTGCCTTTTTCTTTTTCAAAATACTTCATTTTGTCATGACAGAAAAACCTTTCCAGTTTTCTCCTTTATATCATTTTCACAGCATTTTTTCAAAGTAGCCAAAAATCAATAAGAAACAGAGTCCAAGGTAACTTTTTTTAACATGTTCCATAGTTCTTAGGAATATTATTTGGTAAGCCACTTATTTTTCCTGTACATTAACTGTTCCAAACAAAGTGAAATAAATAACTGGCTATCCGTTTACAGTATGTGGTGTTCTCTCACATGGAACCACATAGTTTATCTTAAACAGCTAATCACTGGAAAATAATCATCTGCAATGGAAAAAATCCTCAGGCTTTTCCAACTCAAAGCAGAACAGCACCTGACTGATATCTACTTCAGTACAAAGAACAATATGCAATGTGTGATGTACACACATGTGCGCAACCTTCACAGCTGAACACTTTGTAAGCTTCTAGAACTGAACTTGTACATAGCATTTCCTCTAAGGCCACCAAAAGATTTCCTCTTCAGACACACAGTGCTGCTCAAAATCTAGTTTTAATCTAAATATGAAAACTTTCAATACCTAACTGATTTTGAGGAAGAATTAGAATCAATGTATTATTATTAGCATGGTAATTATGTGACCCTTTAGCAGCTAAATTTCTTTGCTTTAAAGCAACCAATAAGCAACCTTTTCTAATTCTTGATCAGGGAGCCAGAATGAGAAAGGCAAGTTTATGTCAATAAAACTACTTCAGAAGGGCTTGTTCATGAAATTTACAAGTATGAACACTTCTCCAGTTTTTCCATTTTACAGGTCCCAGATTACTGTCTTGGACATAGTCTCTGTAAAAACCTGAACAGCAATCCTGCTAAATTTGGATTGTGTGTCTGGGTTTCAGAAACATGTAAGAAGTAGTTGAGACTACAATCAGGCACAAAAGGGTACCCCTAATAGTTTGAGTCTTCAGAGATATATAAGAATTCCAACTGGCACAACAAACGCATGTTATAAAAACTGTAGATGCAGTGCAGGAGTTGGACAGCCATCTGATGGAGGAATTCAAAGGACCATCTATGTAGGTATAAATAGGCAAGGGGTGTCATCCATCATTTACAATTCTTTCCAGACTTCAACAATTCTACCACTCCCAACTGTTCCCCGTTGCTGAAATAACTGACAGACCAGCAGCTCTGGCTAGCCTTACCTTGAGCTAGAAAACACTTAAGCTAAAGCACCCAGGGCCTTGCCTCCTAAACCAACCCGTAACTCTTTAGTAAGGTCTCTCCCTCTACACATCAGACGGTTTCAACACTTCCCAATTTCTCTTTAGGAAGGATATAGTAAGACTCAAAAGAAAAGTACCTTTGCAGCACTGATTGACCTTCAAGAAGTTCTTCCATTGCAGAGTTCAGTCTCCTACACTGTTTCCTCCCACTCTTTCCCCATTGAGTCCTTGTGTGGACGTTTTGTTTTTGGGGAAATTAATCCTTTACACTCCATTTTGATGAGAAGTCCCTGAACTTCAAGCAGATCCCTTTAAACAATGCAGCTCCTGTTTCTCTCCTTGAGCCTTAACCCTCCCTCCTACACAAACTCCTCTAGAAGCTGGCAAAACAGAGAAAGCTGAATAGTTTATAGTGTAAACTAAATATCTAACAAAAGTAACAGGAGCCTAGGCATTATAGCCCAGGTACTTAATTCCAAACACATGACTGCTCCTTTTTTTTCCTTCTTGTTCTCTGAAGTACCTCTTATTTCCCCTCTTCTCCTTTTCCTCCCCAAAGCCCCACAACCTCACCATTTCCTAGAATCAGAATCCAACCTATGCAGTCCATACACATTCAGCCTGTATCCTTCAAGCCTTCAATTCCACAAGTGTGCCTTTTCCAGGAATTTCTTTCACTGTAAATAAAGCTTGGTTACATTCTAACATTTCCTTCATGTCCTCAGGGTATATTGGATGTTTCACTGTTTATAAGCAGACTGATTCTTTATTGAAAGCTCTACCCCAACATTTGCTATTCCCCTTTGAATTGTTTTAAAATATAGTGTTATTCTTGTGTGTTTAATACAATTATCCAAGAAACCAATGTATGAATGCAAGTTACTGGGAACAATCTGTCTAGCATCCAAGGCTCTCCTGTATGCATTATTTACATGTCTGGAGAGCAAATCAGGCAACAAACTACATATGATCCTGTGTACACTTCAGAATTACACACATGGGATCCATGCAAAGACATCTATAAATGTGCAAAACAAGCATAAAAAGATACTAACATCCTTGAAGATTACACATAATGGAAACTGATTTAAAAATAAAATAAAAACTAGATGCATTTAATCATATGTACAAACATTCTCCCCATGCAACAGACTGTTTCAACTGCTCCATAGGAAATCATCACAGGTTCTACCAGGAAGCTGCACAAGGATTCAGGAAGGAAACAGGAGTATCACTCTTCAATCTTATCCCAAAGAACTAAGTTCTTGCTTGAGTCTCAGTTCAGAGAGTTTGCCTGCATTGTAAGGTACAACGAACAATACAGCAGCTGTTGTCAGAAGCTGAACCCAACTGGGAGACATGCAACTAAGAAAGGATCTCTCTATCAACATTCAGCAGAGTCCGCAAGGATATATTTCATTACAGTTTGACTGAGAAGGATGATCCACAGGAACAGCCCTGTTCTGCCTGTGGATTGTTCACCACCTGGAAGGAGCTGCGAATTAGCTCCTGGCCAAAGTCAACCATTGCCCCTTTCACAAAGCTTAGGCTGTCCGTATCCACAACCACTCGGGCACCATCTTGCTCAAAAACCCTGTAGAAGGATACACAGATAACATGTTAGGGCAGCTGCAAAGAGATTTTGAAAAACAACATGCAAGATGTTATCTGTCCCAGGTCACATACAAAACAGACCTCAAGGATGTGGTGGTCCACCATATGCCTGCACAGCTTGACACCAGAATGGATGCAAGCCTTTTCCTAGCTGGTGTCCCTCAGACAGCTTTGGACTGCAGCACTCACCAGCTCCAGCAAACACAACCAGATATTGGGAAAGAGATTATGTGTAGCACCAAACATTTTAAAGCAACTTTCTCTAAGGAAAGAGACCTGGAGAATATCTGCTCCTGCATAAGCCCCCTTGCCTATTATGACTGACAGACATGGCATCTGCCTGTATTCTTTAGAAAATGTAAGAACTTTCTGAGTAGTGTTCCTACAATTTTTTTAACCATCTTTTAAAAGATGCCTCCATCAGTGGGACCAGATTTTCAAGAGGAGGGCAAGAATCTTTCTTTTTCAAAGGTTTTTCAATACCTTTTTCATAGAATCATACAGCTAAAAGAGACTCCAAAGATTATTTGACTTTGCCCACACTCCTATTTTTAATAAATTTAGGTTTTCTTTCTTGTGATTTTGGTTATTTATATATGTTGCATGATATTTAATTTGTTAGCTGCCCTGAGTAGGAAACAAAACAACACCAGAACAACATGTACAGGACAAAGCAAACTAAATTTGCAGCAACTTCAGTTTCTGCACACCCTGGTGGGGTTTGCAAATGGTGCCAATGCACACTTTTAAAACTGTACCAGAGTTTCCACTGTCAGCTGGCCAGTGCCAGGAGGCTTCCCAGTTATTGCCAACACTAGGCTCAGGACTCGACAAGTGGCAAAAATGGACCTGCTGAAGCTGCTCCTCGGGCAAGAATATCATCACTGCCCAGCCAATGCTGAGAGGCTTCCTGGACACGTTGCTACTGGCCAGCAGGCAACACGGTTCTTGCTAGGGGAGAGGGCAGCTCCAGCAGCTCCATTTCTGAAGCATGTCAGATGAGGGAGCTGCTGCCTCCCCCCCAACCCCACCCAGAGAAGTCAGCCGAATTGAAAAGCCTCCCAGTATTGGGCAGCTTGGCAGCTGCTCCACTTTCTATTTTACTGCTGCTGTCCCAACTCTGCTTGAATGTGGGGGAAACAAGTGGTTTCCTGCTTGTTTTCAGATAAATTGCAGTAAAAAACTTACTGCCAGTTATCTGGAACATGTAGTTCCTGCCAAGACACAGATTTTAGGGGGGAAAGACACAAACATGACAAAGCCCCAGGGTTGGCAAATGATGCACACAACAGTACAGTAGTGCCTCGCTTGATGACATTAATCCGTTCCAGCGAAATCGCTGTAGAATGAAACTGTCGTCAAGTGAGATAAAAAAGCCCACTGAAATGCACTGAAAACAGGTCAATGCGTTCAATGGGCGAAATACCTGCTCGTTCAGTGAAGATCCTCCATAGGACAGCCATTTTCTGCTCCCTGTATAGTGGAAAATCCGTCCTAAAAACAGCGGGGAGCCATTTTGCACAGCCGGCAGCCATTTTGGAAACCCGACTATCAGCTGTTTTGATGATCGTAAAGCGAAAAATCGGTTCCCGAAGCAGGGAACCGATCATCGTAAAGCGTTTTCCCCATTAGAACATCATTTTGCGATCGCAAAAGCGATCGCAAAAACCTAATCGTCAAGCAGATTCGGCGTTTAACAAGGTAATCGTTAAGTGAGGCACCACTATAGTTGCAAACAGTAAGACAATAGTTCTACCAAATATACAACAGACTAATTCCTTTGACCTCCTTCCATCCCCAACCTACTATTCATTCTTTGCCACATTAATGCTTACCTGTCATCAGAATTTATGACTGTATCCAAGGAAAATCTGTATTGAAATCCAGAACAGCCACCTCCTTCCACTTGCAGCCTCAAAAATTCAGACTCTTCTGCAATCTCCAACAGCCTCTATTAAAGTACAGAAAGGATGAACAAGATTCATATGCATGTCTTTAACAAAACAAACCAGCAAAAGCCAACAAAAGGGTGGTGATCTTCCGATACAAAGGACATAATGGAGAAACCCACTAGCATAAGAGTTTGTCAGCATAGTCTTCCACCTCTACTAAAAGGGAAAACCTTCTCCAAGCAATGTACGGATTGCTATTGCTACAAATCTCAAGACTAATCCACATAACTCATTTTTGATTCTAACTAGAAGGAAACCTAACTTCTGTGCTTGTCAACTATGATTGAATATGCACTCCACCACACACCTAGATCTCAGGTTGCTATGTCACTGAACATTATCAGCCCACCAGATGTAGCTGTATGAAACCATGTCTTTCCAACGCGGACAGAGCTAGTAAAATAGTCTGCATGTTTTTAAGATAACCATAGAATGATCATCGTTGTTATGCACCATCAATTTGGTGACTGACTTACAGTGACCCTAAAAGAGCTGTCGAAGTAAGTGAGATATTTAAGTAGTGGTTTTACCAGTTCCACTCCCCCCATGAGTTTCCACGTCCGAGTAGGGAATCCAAACCTAGGCCTAGTCTGTTGCACTATCCACCACACCACACTGGGTGTCCAAGAATAATCATACACATTCATTTTTATATGACATAGTATCCCAAGAATAGATTGGAATTCAGGAGGAATTCTGAAACTATACATGGCACACAAGAACCATACCTTGATACAGTTCTCACTGAGGTAGATTCGTCCTTCATTAGAATCACTCTGAATGTCTCCAGAAGCTGAAGATGCTATCCACTGCACCCTTATCCTTGGCCCACAGGCACTGTTCTTCAGTGCACAGGATGGTGCTCTGATCATGCGCCAGTGATGAAGAGAATGGCTACATGGGAAAGATGAACAGTCATTGGACAAAAATTCATCAGGTTAGAGATATGAGGAATGTGGACAAATGTAAATGTTTTAAAATGGAGGTAACTACAGACAGCCTGTAGTGCCCCCACCCACCTTAAAGTTTGCCTCTCCTCTTGGGCTTTTTGAAAAACAAAATCCATTCAAATCAAGTTTAGGCATGGGATCACCTAAATTGATGCAGCAAACTGAACTGTGTGTGTGCATGTACCCACCCACACCTTCTCCCTTACCTTCTAAGGAAGGATAAACTGTGCGTGCATGCACACTTATCCACCCCTTCTCCTTCAACTCTTCCCCCCCCCCCACAGCTTCTCTCTCTGTGGGCCGAGAGGAGGAAGCCAGTAGAGACTCAGTGAAGTCCAGTCCCCATTTACCTGAGGAGGAAAAAAAGAACAGGGCACTTTTCTTGAGCTTAGTTCCTCCCTGGCTTGGTCTTCAATACTTTTTTCTCTTGTTTTTAAACAAATCAGGGAAAGCCTCTTGCATTTTTTACAGGTCACAGTAAAGCTAATTAGTTTTGGAAACCTTGATTACAAGCTTCGTCATCTTGTTAGGCAGTTGCCTTTTAACTGCACCGCCTGCTGGTCTATTGAAAAGAATGGCTTCCTGTTTCTCCCTATGTGGCCAGTTAATGCAGAGACATCTAGGGAAATCAGAGAGCCTGGCTACACGGGGGCGGGAGGCAGAATACTATAGGCTTGGGGCAGGCTGATTCATATTTTCCCCACTGAGCCCATTTTCCAACAGGAAATGCAAATCAGCCCAAAGCCCTAGAGCCCCAATCCTTGTTTAAAAATTGAATCCTTTGCTTTGGTTCAAGCAAAAGATTCTCTTGCCTCGTAAGTTACACACACACAAACACTTACAGGAAGCAAAGTCTCTTTCCCAAGATATATATATTACAATTCTCTTCTGTGGGGAACTAGGGTTTGTTTTTCTATGATAAGTTGAAAATATGTCTCCCAGGTGAGAGGTTTTTTTAAAGAAGCTAGTAAGATGGTTATAGGAGGAAATTGTAGTAGGAAGCCTTTTTATTGTTTGTACAGCAGTTCTTTGTGATGGCAACAGGGCTATATGCAGAACTGCAAGCTGACAGGGGGGAAAAGAGGCTCTCTCTGACCACTTAAATAATACAGATTAGGACTGGACTTAATGAGGGTCTGACCCCTGGGGCCAGACCATCCACTCACACATCTTCCTACGGCCCAACTTATCCTTCCAACCGAGCCCAGAGCACCAGTGTCTTCCTGCTCGGCTGGCCACTCGGCACCCGTGCAGGGAGACTCGTCCTGCCTCCTCTTGCCTGGAGTGGCTAGATGAGCAGGAAGAGAGTGGTGCTCCATGCATGATTGGAAGGATGAGTGGAGCTGCTGCTGCTGGAGGACACATGAGTGGACAGTCCAGCACCAGGGGTGGACCCTCATTAAGTCCAGCTGCACAGGTATATTCGTATTCACATATGAATACCCCCATCTCTAGCACAGACCCAAATTCCCTTTTGAAACTTTACAGTGAGTGAATGTGAGCAATTTGCATTTCCCTTGCCATGTAGTCACAGCTGAACTGCTGGTCAGAGTTACCCATCCCATTAGCCATTTCTATCTGTGCAAGGTGAGAAGAGAAGACTCCCTGGAGAAGACCCTGATGTTGGGAAAGTGTGAAGGCAAGAGGAGAAGGGGACGACAGAGGATGAGATGGTTGGACAGTGTCACCGAAGCTACCAACATGAGTTTGACCAAACTCTGTGAGGCAGTGGAAGATAGGAGGGCCTGGCGTACTCTGGTCCATGGGGTCACGAAGAGTCGGGCACGACTAAACAACAAAAAATCTGTGCAAGAAGTTAAGGAGGAAAGTGTGCCACATGCTTTCTAAGTTTCTACTCAAAAAGGAAAGAGATCTGTAGCAAGAAGCATCTTTGACAGGAAACGGATTCTAGAACATTAAAGCACGAAATGAGGATTCTTTAGAGCATCTTTGGTGCTCTGGAACTTTTCATGTTTGACAAAGAAAGTAAACACTATGACAATGAACATACAAAGGGGAAAATAACGGGAAACCTAACTCACACTGTGGAGTAAACCTGAAACACCTTCTTAAACCTACTAATTTTGCCCTTAAGATACAGTACTAACTGAAGCAGAATTTAAATCATTACTATTAGGTCTGAAATTAAGTATATACCAAGCAGGCCTCTGGCTGAAATCCTGTTCTATAACTTATACCTGCAAAAGGGTCATGACATCACTAGCAGGGAGAGATTTTTCTTCAAAGAAAATACTTCAAATTACTTCTATCCTTCCATTCCAGTGTAATTATTTTCATTATGTGGAAGCAATGGAAGTCAGAGAACAGAAGGCAAAAGTCTTTAATTACCAAAAATCCTTCCTGCTGGTAACATCATATGAAAGCAGGGATTTTCAGTAGTAAAAGACCTGCACCTTCCATCCTGTTGTTTCATGTGATGAAAGGGAACACACAGAGTTGGAAAAACCACAAGGCTTTAATCACCAAAAATATCCTCTCCTAGTGATGCCACTCATGACACTTCAGTAGGTATACATTAAGCAATAAGGTTTTAGCTACTGTGTTCTATGTAGACATGTTTTTCATGCTCTCAATACATTTGCTTCCTGAACCCCTTTTTTACCTGATTTTATACAGAATATATATTTTAAGTATGTACTCATTTCCATACTTTGACATTTAAATAAACAGAGGAAGATGTAACTGTCTTTTCCTCCCTACATAGCTAAAGGTTTACTGAGACAGTATCTGTGACCTTCCAAACAAGAAAAATAATATGTTGCCTCTAATAACTCTGTCATAGTCTTAACTGCTTTACTAAAACACAGAAGCAGATGTGCATTTATACTATGTTGGAGACACTATAAGCCATTTGACTGAAAAGAGCAGTGGTTATGATCTCCCTGATGGTCTAAGGTAATTCACAAGACAAACCATTGAGCTATTAAATCAGTGAACTATCCAGCATTTCAGTTTTTTCTCATTCTACAGTTGCTATTATCCATATGCTTGACCTTGTCTGAACTCTCCTAAAATCATGGGGTTTTTTTTCTTTAAATCTTTATGGAATGAACATGGAAACAAAAAAACAAAATAGTACAAGTCTTTCACTAGAAATATATAAGCTGATATACTTCCTTCACACCATTGTAATCTCCATCAGATTAGAATATCACACCAAAGAGTGACATGGGAGGCTGGTGGAAAATAAGTTTTCTTACTAACATAAAAATAAATAAATAAAAGAAAACCATATATTGAAAAGGTCATCTTGGGATAAACTCATGATTTCAATATTATCTATTTTCTTTTTTAAAAAGAAAATAGATAATATGAGTGTCCTTTTTTTAAAAATTCAACATTCTCTTTGTTCTTCCCTGCTTGTCTTGTTAGTATACAAATAGTTCTGTGAAGATTCTCAGTCATCCAGGTGAGGTTATCTGGAAGTTGAGTCATAGCAACTGGACTTCTTATTAGGTTGAAATGTTTCACTACTCATCCAAGTAGCTTCATCAGTCTGAGGAGAGTTGGTAGTAGACCCCTGATATATCCTCCACATTGGTTTCATTTCCCCTGGTCTGAATAGGTTCATTAGATGGACAAAGGATGTGCGTGAGAGTGAAAATCCCACCACTGCAGTCCATCTCCACCCATTGTCATAGGTCCTTAGCAGTCATTAACAGTAGTCTTTCTGATGTGTTGTCCAGATCTTTCTGGGGACGGATGAAAGGGCAGCATGATAAATAGGAGACAGATTGTATCTAAGGCTTCCATCCCTCCCTGAGTGAGGGATTTTCTATATGTACATGTATGGCCTCCCTGACCCCTCTCTCAAACCGCTTATCTTTCTCAGTCCAAAACGAGTACATCTTGGTTATCAAATGAGTGTCCTTTGTCCTTCAAATTAAGGAACACTGCTGACTGTGGTACTGAGCCATTGCCCCTCCTGCACTGGGCCATTCTCCTGTTTAGCAGCTGTTTGGTTTCTCCAATGTAGAGAGCTCTGAACACTCCTCTCTGCATTAGACCACATATACTGTTTCTGTTGTGTTTTGGTGTCCAGGCTTTGGGGTGTACAAGTCTCTGCCCCTCTGCATTGGACCACATATACTGTATTGCTTCTGTTGTGTTTTGGTTCCAGGCTTTGGGGTGTACAAGTCTCTGCCTTAATGTGTTTGTGGGTTTGAAGTGCACAGGTATGTGGTGTTTACCAAAAATCCTTTTCAGCTTTTCAGACACATCCGCCATGTAAGGAATGACCAGGTTCTGTGGTCTGTAAATAATGCAATGTTATATTACAGAAAAAGGAATCATGGTCTAAAGTAGAAAATATTTCATTTCCTCAGTAATATAACATTATTAAACCTCAGAATTATTTAGACTTCTTCTGTGCCTGTTTCAGCCATTGACTGGAGACTTGCACTATTTACAGACCACTAAGGCACAACTCTTTATATACTAACAAGACTTTCACTGATTTCATCTTTCTTTTAAAAAGTCATTCAGAGAACATTTAAAAGTGGGCAATATTCCTTCTTCTGGTGGCATTCTGGGACTGTGCAGTTTGCCCACGGCTGCACAGATGGCACAGCATTTAATTCCATCAACCACACCTGAGCGTCTCCCAGAGGGCATAGTGGAGATTCAAATTCAGGGGTCTGCAGCCAGGTACTCCAGCCCACTGAGATATAACCAACTCTCTGGGACAGAAATAATTTGTGTAAATTGAAGATCTGCTGAGATTAAAGGACTAAAGAAAATACAATATTGTTAGCCCCGTGTTATTTACTATTTTCCTGACAGCAGTGCAATTCTAACCAATTGAAGACAAAATCCCATTGTTATGCACTGTTGCCAAATAACACTGTTTTTTCTTTTTGTCACTTAACTCTGAAGTAGCAAACCATCTATCTGGAAATAGTAACATGAACCGTCAGTTTCCAAGCAAGTAGCTGCACTAGTCTGTCTCAGCATGCTGACAAAATTAAAGGGAAAAATTAACAAATTTCTTGTGGAGAGAGCGTTTGTGGATCAAAATCCACTGGCAGATTTTAATCCACAACAGCTCAGACTGTAACAAACCTGTTAAGAGTGCCCACCACACTTGGCCCTTATTGTCCTTCTGTTCCTTTAATTTTTTTCAAGGTGAACTACAAGTGAATTAGAATGTCTACTCATAGTCCTTGAATTTAAATCTAAAGTACCTTACCCTGTTATAGATTTTAAAATATGTAATACTTTAATTAATGTACAAGCTCTCTTTTTAAACGTAATTCTGAATATTTTACTGAAATATTTTCAAGTGTTTTAATTTTGATATAGTGATTTTAGTTTTATTTCAGTATTTGTAAATCTATTGCATTTTAATTTTAAATTAATTTTAATTGCATTTTAATTTTCTATAGCATTTTGACCTTTTTTGTAAACCACCCAGAGTCCCAATTCAAGAGGAAAGTGGGGTATAAATCCAATAAATCAAAGAGTAAGTAAAGGACCGCAGGGACATTTTGAATTATATCGGCGTCATTCAAAGTCACATTCCTGAGACCTACAAGTTGGGCAGCCGTTTCGCGGGAGCAAGCGAGCCAAGAGGCATCGGGCGTAACAAGACATAAGTGGTGCCCTGAAAGCCGAGACCGTCCCTGTGCCCCACTTCACCCCCGACGTCGCCCTCCCGCCCAGCTTTCGGACCCGCGCCACGGAGCGCCGCTTGGGAACAGACAAGGGAAGAAGCCGCCACTACCTGCTACGCCCGTAAAATTTCAGCGTCCTAAAACAACTGAGCGCTACCAGCGCCGCCATCTTCGTCCTCGCTATTCCGTCCTTATTGGTAGAAGTACAGCATATATCCCGCCCCCAGCTAGCGCTAATTGGTGGGCGGGCTACACAAGGCTTGCTCCATTGGAAATCTGAAGAAGCGTATGGGAGCACGTCACACGCCACCGAGAGAAGGTGAGGTAGGTAGGGCGGAAGTTCCTGAAAAACCGCTTACAGTAGTTGGAGCAGTTAAGTATGTTATCTCCGTCAGGTCTCACCGGTGGAGCCTCTACTCCCTTTTCGAGTAGGAAAGAGATGATTTTTTTTTAATTTAGGTGAGATAATGGTTTTGGAGTGCCTTGTTATGTGCCGTGAATTCGCCTCCGATTTACGGTGACCTTATGAATGTCAGTACATAGGTACACTGCATTTATCATGTATTTTATTTTCTTGGTTTATTTAAAATATTTTTGCCTCACCTTTCTCCTTGGAAAGGACACAGGACGGCTTACAACAGTGAAAGGCAATATTTATAGTTGAAAACAATATACAATGGTGATCAATGTTATTAAAAGACAATATTTCAAGCTGAGAACAATGAAGAAGAAGGCATCTGATGTCATTAAAAGGCAATATTTAAGCTAAGAACAATAAATGCACAATTAAAAACAAACCAATGCCACTCAGAAATGGAAAACACAAAAATGGAAAAACATAAGTAGTGCTAAAAATCCAGTCAAAGACTATCTTAAAAAAATCACACACAGGTAACTAGTGACAGAGGGAATGCTTGCCTGAAGGGAAAGATTTTTGCCTGCTTGTGGAAGGACAACAATGATGGGGCCAGTCCGGCCTCCTGCGGGAGGAATTTCAAAATCTGGGAGGGATAACAGAGAAGGGCCTCTCCTATGTCCCCATCAGATGCACCTGCTAAGATGGCAGGACAAGAGAAAGACATTTCCTGATGATTTTAACA